GGAGGGGAGGGGAGGGGTTGTTCATTTCTTTGTTTCTATTCAAACCACTCAATATAAAGCTTCCCGAAATGAGAATCGAACTCACTTTTTAATGAACTACGAAAAGAATCTGAGTAAAGAGAAGCATGTCGACACGATAACGGTTATTTAGTGCTTGTAAAAAAGCAAGATGGGACTGAAACAACGAAAGGGAAGGATATAAATAGGATCTACGGGTGGTATTCTCCAAGCACTCACAGACCTAACTTTACGCAATAGACACAGGCTATGTATTCTTTTCGTATTGAAGTAAATAACAATGATGGTTTTTCAGTCTCTTTCCTGACTTAACTATTTTTCTTTAATTTCTGCTTACATTATTTTGCTTTTCATAACCACCAAATGAACACCATTATGGAGTGCTTCTTTCAACTAACCTGAACTTTACTATACTCTTTCTCTGTTGAGAGCGAGTTGATGAAGGGTATTACTCACAGGTCGTACTTCTTTACTATCTGTTTCTGTCTGTTGACGTATTTTTCACCTTTCCTCAGCACTAATTAACCTTAACCGTGTGCTTGTGTTTAACTTGTCATGTGGAACTGTGTTTCTGTCCAGACGGTTACACAATGGACGACATCGTGCTGTACTGGCTCAACGACCGCGGGGCTGTGACTGGAGTGGAGGACGTGTCCTTACCGCAGTTCTCCATCGACACCTACGAGACGATCAATAAGATCGAGGAACTGCTTACAGGTTTGTATCAGCTGTAGGGAGGCTTTGTTTTCTGTTATCTAATGTTGTCGTTGTTGTTGAGGAGCAGGCTGTTGCTGTAAAGGTTGCATAATTGTTGTAGTTGTTTGTGTTACTGTTGTTGTTGTTGTGCTGTTGGCGGGTGGTTGAAGGGCGTTACTGGTACGTCCTATTTTTGTCCGTCGCTTTTTTTTTTTTTTTGCTTTTGTCTGTGTTCCTTGGTTTTTATCATTTTGATTGACACTTATTGTGTCAATGTGATTTTTTTGTGTTATTATTGTTGTTATATTTTGCTTTTTTTCGTTATTGCTGATAATGTCGTCATCACTGATTCGGTTGTGTTTGTTGTTATTGTTGTTGTTGTTGTTGTTGCTGGTTGTGGTGGTGATGTTGCTGTTGTTTAACAAGTATTCGCTGCGCTGGCTGGGTAGATGCATATGTTCTGATAGTTTCAACGAAAGAAAATACCTTGCTTATCCTTCTCCCTCTTTGGTTCTCCTCACCTTCGCCCCTAGTGGATTTTTTGGAGAGCGTGGAATTACATAATGTTACTGCTTGTCTACGTTAGGTGCTGTCTCTCTGAGTAACGCTCACAGATGCACAACGTCAATCAGTGCACCTGTGTGATATCCACGCTGGTGTCACATATTATCTTCTCTGTTCCTTCATTTTGTCATTCTTTTATCTTCTTTTTTTGTGTTTTTTTTGTCACCGCTGACTTCGTGTTATTCATTGGGAAGTACATTTCTACTCTACATGCAAAGAATATATTATACATGTCCAATATTATCTTTTCGTTAGCCGTTCCCATGATCTATCAATCAGTAACTATTCGTTGGAAGCTTTGCAACAACGTGACCAAAGAAGCTAGAAAAAACATGTGGATTTTTATTAACGTTAGTATCTTCTCTCTTTCCCTCCAGGTGACTACCAGCGCCTGTCCCTCATCTTCCAGCTACAGCGGAACATCGGCTATTTTATCTTTCAGACATACCTGCCCTCCATTCTGATCGTGATGCTCTCGTGGGTCTCTTTTTGGATCAACCATGAGGCCACGTCTGCGAGAGTGGCTCTTGGTCAGTTACTGTGTTTATTAGGGGGAGGAAGCGGTGGTGGTGGTGGTGACGGTGGTTTTAATTGTTCTGTTGTTTGATGTCGATTCATCGACAGCACCCTGTTCAAACATCGCTGGTGATGTTTCCTTAGATTTTACTATCATAATTATGTGGTTGCACTGATATTCACACACCTATTAAAAGAGCTATTTACAGGTTGAAATGATAAAGAAAGAAATCCGCTACAGAAAATTACTCCAATGGATCCATGTGTCCTAGTCAGTAGTGACTTCAATACGTCAGGGTAACGTATGAATATAATGTGCTTATTTCCATGAACCCACCAGGACTGTAAGCACCTTGTCTATTGTTGAAACCGGCTCCTTGAATATAGTGGTAAGGCTCCTCACTGAGGACCGCAGAGGACATGCGTGCGATTCCAGACTTGGGATTTTTTTTCAAGTTCTTCTATCTTCGTCTCTCTGCTCGCACCTTCTCAGCCCAGGTCAAAAGTAACTGACCTTCTAGGTGATCCACTATGTGGCGATGTGGAGGGGGGAATACAATAGAATTTGTGTTGCTGATCACTTGTGGGTCAGACTTTAAACATTTGTGTAGAGTAACTACAAAAACTGTCAACATAAGAAATAAGCAGGAACGGAAAGAACGGGACCCACTTGGGATTTGAAACGTTTTAATCATGGCAGGGGAAGTTGGACTCCTTTTTGCGCTGCGTGCAGCCTTTACTCAAATGGTGTAGAGTGCTGGATTATCGAATGAATTAACTGAATGCCAAGCGGGTTGAGTGGGAGTGGTTAAAAGATAAATAAATGAAAGGGAGAAAGAATGTGTATAAAATAAATGATAGAGTTAGTGAATCAAAGGATAGACGGGTAGGAGGGGGGGAGGAGGAGGGAAGCAATGGATAAAGAAAAGAAAGGAAAGGAGGGGAAGGAAGGGATAGTGGAAAGAACGGTGGGTGAAAGTAAGAGAGAAAGGAAGAAAAGAAGGATGAATGGAAGAAAGAGAAAATGAGAGGAAGAACTCAATAATTGAACCAATAAGTCAGTCGATCAATCCAACTCCACCCAACAGGCATCACGACTGTGCTGACCATGACAACCATCAGTAACGGTGTCCGCTCGTCCTTACCACGCATCTCTTACGTGAAGGCTATCGACATCTACCTAGTCATGTGCTTCGTCTTCGTCTTTGCTGCCCTGTTGGAATACGCTGCAGTGAACTACACCTACTGGGGGGCTCGTGCCAAGAGGAAGGCGAAGAGACTGCGTGAGCGAGCGACCAGTGTGAGGAGAACAAGGGTGGAAGAGCCCCCTGAGCCTATGGTGAATTTGGTGAGCCCTGTTGTGTGTGGGGGAGGGGAAATGGGTGGGGGGAGGGAGGAAGAGAGGAGTGAGCTCTGTTTTGTGTGTGTGGGAGGGGGCAAGCGGGCGTTGGTCATTCTTTATTGAGTTAACAGATCTTCTCTTCACAAAAAAGCTTCGAGTGGAAGTTTTGGTTCTATTGGTAGTGTAATGTTAACTGCCATACATGCATGGGAACTCCCAAGTTTGACTCACATGTTCACATGTACGCATGTGCACACATACAAACACACAGACACACACACGCGCACACACACACACACACACACACACACACTTGCACACACACACACACACACACACACACACACACACACACACACACACACACACACACACACACACATACACACGAATATACACACACAAACTCAAAGACATATACACACACGTATACCTACGCGTGCATAATTACACATACACAGACATGCACACTTTTCCCCTAGAATGAGGACCAGCCAATGGGTTCGCCGTCCGTAATCTGGCAAAGTGCTTCCATGACGGCTTCTATGATATTGATGAGAGTCCACTTCCAGAAGTCGATTTCCACCCATAGCCAAGTGCGATTACGTGTCAAGTCGGCTGTAGATCCTATGGGATTGCAGGGTCGATTCTGTCAGGACAATATGACCCTCTGTGAATCGAGACGTATTCATTGTAATTTGCGTTGGGGCTCAGATTGTGTGCCTATGTGGCACATAAACTCTCAAGCTGTGGTGTAAACACATACGTGTATACATAATTAAAGCTGTCTCCATACAGGCAGGCAGGCAGGCAGGCAGGCAGACAGGCAGACAGGCAGGCAGGCAGGCAGGCCGACAGACAGTGGTCTCCGCTCAGAAGCTAGTCATTGGGAGATAAATAACGGGTAATTAGGCCGACCGGGGTCTTAGGGGGATTCCAAGAGGAACAGCCAAGCTCCTTCCCGTTGACTTCCCGTGTTTCTTCTATAATATAATGATACAATAGCTGGAGGCAATACTGAGGCCTGGAGGGAGATGAAGAGTTTCACCAGGTTTTTAAGGTGAGATAAATTCGAAGAAATGTTACATGCAATCGTGTCGTTCCTGTGAACTGGACAGAGTCAACTGGGCTACGGAAGGTAAAAACCTATTATTTTCCCTGGGTTTTGGACATGCCTGGTTTTGTCAAAATGATGGAAGTACTTGACTCTTTCTCAGTGAAGTAAAAAGTAGACTTGTTGATCATTCTGTGCAGAACATAGAGGAAGAAGTCTGTCGCAAGTATAATGTTTTCTCTCTTACAATTCCGTTTCAAGAAACAGCTGAATATATCACCAACCTCCCACGGTATTGGAGCAGAAGAGTCATAGCTTTGTTAAAAACCCATAGCCTTCCATTAAATAACAATCTCTATCGGTGGAAATTATTAACTAATTCGCCCTTATGTGAGAGGTGTAACTCTCATGAAATTGAAGATGAATTTCACTTTATTTTCTATTGTTCACACTTTGTCCTTCAAAGGAAATTGTTAATTCCTCCCAGCCTGACTCAGCCCAGTGACAGAAATATGCAATGTTTGACTCATGATAAGAGATATGAGTACAATCTTTACCTATTCATTATGGAAACATTATTAAATCAAATGAATGTTTTGCGCGATGTGATGTGGGCCAATGGCATAAAACACTGAATAAACTTACTTACTAAGGTGAGATAAGATGCGCATATCTGAGTGGTGCGCATTGTTTTGGGGTCGGTTTTAAGGACAAGCGGGCTAACCCAGATTTCGGAGGTTTCCAAAAATCTTGACCTACACCAAAAGTGGGCATTGCCCTACCTATAGGAGAAGTTTGGTTTCATTGGTGTGTATATGTGTTTGGTTATAGAAAAATCTCCCCTTGTCTTTTAAAGAAAATGAACAATGGGCAATAACTTTACCTTCGATTTTCTCAAAACAACATTTTTCGGGATAGCCCCCTTGTGCTTAAAAGCGACCGATTAACGAGTAAACTACGTAAACGTTGTTGTCTTTACGCCACCTTTAGATCAGTTAGGAGACGAGATTCCGACTACCTATCAGGGTGTAAGATTAGGTGAGGATCAGAAAAAAAATTTGCACATTGTCATTGTGATTTGACAGCACTGTGAAGCAACGGAACAAAATCAGTCGCAAAAAGAAGAAGAATTCAAGGGATGGAATAATCGTAAATGGGCCAGTTGTTTTGTTTTTTTTGTAAAAAGGCAATAGGACGCTTTGGCCACGTGAGAAGAGCAAATGATTGTTTCAGTCGAAACCCACCAAACGATGGACTCTCTCTGCAGAGCTCACGTACGTGCGTAAAAAGTGACTCTGTATAAGTGCACACGTATTTTGTAGATTTTATTGTCCAATAGTCCACGCTAACCTCTCTTCCTTCACTCGGACCCGCGCAAAGTTCGGATAAGACGCTCAGAAAACTTTATCGCCTTGGGCTCAGACGGGTTCTTATTCATGCAAATTACAGAGAAGAAATGTCGTTACAAGTTAAAAGGCGGACCAGTTTCTCACGTGGGGTATTCTAATGTAAAAACCACTGTTTATGTGTGTGTGTGTGTGTGTGTGTGTTTGTGTGTGTGCGTGTGTGTGTGAGCGCGCGCGCGTCTCTCTCTCTCTCTCTCTCTCTCTCTCTCTCTC